GTTCAAACCTTCATAGGATTCTGACATGCCCAGCGGACAACTATTCAGAGCAACTTGTGGTGCCTCAAATGACTGGGCCAGCTGGGCCCCACTTTCTGTCGCGATATAACTGAGATATTGTTGTAAGTAACAGAACTCTTAATTCACTTAGCACTTTCTTCATGTGTGAAATTTTATAGTATAATAGGTGAAGATGGAAGTAAATTACCCTGACGGTTACAAGCCGATGAAGTGGACACATGTAAGAGGGATTTGGTACTGGGTTCAAATCCCAGGAGATCAGTTCCCATAATTGGCCATGACACGTAATAAAGATTTTGCCTTTGGGCATGAGAGAATGAGACTACATGTTGTGGCATATGTCTCACCTGAACTGGGAACGAGAGATTGATCAAGGCATATATGTCATCTTCATTGGACATGAGAGACTGAGACTATATGTCATGGCATGTAGCTCACCTGAATTGGCCTTGAGAGACGGAGACTATATGTCGTGGCATGTAGCTCACCTGAATTGGCCTTGAGAGACTGAGACTATATATCATGGCATGTAGCTCACCTGAATTGGTCTTGAGAGACTGAGACTGCATGTCATGACATATAGCTCACCTGAATACAATTTCTAACATAGTTGGAAATGTTTGTGAGTTATAGAAGGTGACATGTAGACAGTCCAGTTTGACATCATTCATGCATTTGTGAGCTATTGCAGATTGAAAGCTCACCTATCAATAGCTGAATGAAGAAAACATGCTTGGATCAGTCATCCTTTGGATATTCTAGACAGCTAGGGCATGGATGGCCCAGTCATCCAAGATCTTTGATAACCTATGCAGAGTTGCCTCCCTTGATCATGCCAGAATCCTGTGGGTTTGAATCCCAGTTATGTTCTAGGTTTGACAGCCATACTCATAGGTTTCACCAAAGTGGTAAATGTCTTGAGAACTTCACCATGTCCACCTTGTCCTCTGGAACTGAAATACTGTTCAAAGTTCAGTCACTCCAGATCAGAATAAGTCTATGGTATCCTTGCTTGTGAGAAGAGCTAACAGACGTTGTGATTGGCTGGCTTTTCAGTGTGTGACCTGGCTCATAGAAAGTCATTGTGACACAGTGACGTAGGTCATTCCTCATGCTATCAACCACAGGTTTGGCTAGCCTGACTATTTACAGACCGACATGACTAGAGTTTTAACGATTACAACATTCACTGACCCAGTCCAGAGAAACATTTCCCATTAAAATATTGTCTGAAAGTAGTAAGTTTTTCCCTTTCAAATAACAACGTATGTAAACGAAAATAAAATTCCTTTTTTACACAAAATGTGCATCACTAACTTCATTGGTTGCATGGCAGCACCGAATACACTAATGTATCTCATCTGTGTAAAGCTTGATTCATATTTCACTAGGGCAGCAGGAATGGATGTTAACTATTCTGTTTGAATTTGATCTGTTAATCCTCTCAATCCTCCCTATGGAAACAGTAGTGATTTGCAATGCTCTGTTCACAAGCAAAGGACAGCACTGAACATGTAGACAAAATGTTTTCCTTCAACTACTTTCATCATCACATGTATACATTTGTGACCAATTCCTGCCCAGAGATGTTAGTTTACAGGATGTTATTTTCCCGTGAAGTAGTTATAGATCAGGTTGTCATGAATACCCTCATGACTGAAACATCAAAATAACACACATAAAAACAAGGTTACATCTTCCTACCGACTAATCGTATGTCTCATAAGTATTTCCAGGTAGAATTATTAAATGGATTGTCCTTCCCCAGCATGACCGTACAGTAATGGCTGATGAATATTAGTCACAGGAGAACGGTTTTTGCTTGATGGTGTTCACTGGCCTGAACAGATAATGTTTAAATATTCTTCGAATCATCTACGCCTCGCTACCTGGATAACACTGGACATTCATCCAGTTTCACACCTTGTGAATAGGCTGGGAGCGTATTTGTTCTTGTTACACATATATTTGATCAACGTATGCATAAACAATCCCCATAGATTTTGTTGAATAACATGTAATGAAAATAAGTGATGTTGAGTGTGGCTTTATTGGAAGTAAAGGAGGCAGTGTATTCTTGCATCAAGACTGGTAATACCTGTGAAGGTCTGGGTTAGAATATTGATCTTAAGTAACCCATGTTGTGTAAGAGGCGACTAACGGGATTGGGTGGTCAGGCTCACTGACTAGGTACATGTCATTGGTTCCCAACTGCATAGATCGATGCTCATGCTGTTGATCACTGGATTGTCTGGTCCAGACTCAATTGTTTGCAGACCACCGCCATATGCATGGAATATTGCTGAGTGCAGCATAAACTAAACTCACTCACTCACACACTCATGACTGGTAAATATACTGAACATAAATAGTTAAGGATCATGATTATTTTAGTGTATATCTTTTTATAGTGAAGACTGAACACAATTTCGTAAAGATATCCCTCACTTTTTTAATGTGTTGTATGAAACCAAAACAAAGTCTAAAAGAAGCAAATCAAGCTCACACTCTATTTCAAAACAAATCAACATTAGCTAGAACTGAGGAGAAGACAAGTTTGTTTTGTTATCTGTATGTTTGGCCTATCTCAGACATGTATGTAGATGCTTTGTTACTTATAGAATATTAGTCCATTTTGACTCTGTTTCTTGACTTTTTGTGGTTTTAATCTCCACTGATTCCCTGATGTTACACTTTCATTTCTATTATCATATAAGTTTTATTATTAAATTCATTTGTTGACAGTTGTTGTTTAGATGGATGGATTAATGAATGTAGGATTGGTTGTCATGACATATGGATTGTTGGATGATGGACAGATAAATGGATGGATAGATAGATATTGACAAATGCAATTGAGGATGGATGGATTGGGAGTACAAGGGTGTTGGGTATAGAATGAATTGACAAAATACATTGTAGGATGGATAGGTTGATTTGTGGACTGACAAATAATGGTTTGTTGGGTGAGTGGCTGATCAAATGGATAAATGTACAGATGGTTGGATAGATGAATAGATAAATGATAATCTATTCTATACTTATGAATAGATAATGGACTGGAAAGAGGAATAACCTTGAATGTTGAGAGATGAGACAATTAAACATTTTTATCTAAACACAATATCTAGATCACTGTTCACATTATTGACAGAATCCAGATATACATAGATGGTCATATAACATTATCACTTTTGTTTCGATGGCTTATCTCTCATTTAATTTTCATGATAAATACATACTCAAAATATGTTATTCAAATTCAAGGTATTCTACACCATCAAAATCTCACAAACTCTTGTTTTGATGATCATAAACTTTGTACAAAGACATTTAATTCTTATCTACAAGCAGTCAAATCTATTTAACTGAAAACCAAAACATAATGATGAGAAACCTGATAGTTTTCATTGTCCATCTGTTGAATTAGTTATACTATACAGGCTTACTGTAATCATTCAAATTGGAATTCATCTTATCATTACATCGACCTTAAGATAACAGTTGTGATTGTTTTTGTGATATAACATTAACATTTGTTTGGAAATCCTTAAAAGATCTTTATGGTAAACACAGAAAGAGAAATTATCATTTTATCTTAAGAGTGTTTTGAAACAATTCACATACAAAACTATGTATACTGGACAAAAAAATTCAAATAATGAACACATTATAGAAAAAAATTAAGATCACAATTTTAAGTGTCTGATACTCATGCATCATTCAACGAACACGGATATGAAAAAAAAAATGAAATATGTTCTCTTTAATATTTCATACAATTAGAAAGTTTCTTTGAAAATGACAACACAGTCAGACCATGAAGTAGTTAATTGGAAGTCACTTAGGAGTTCTGGAAAATATTCATATATTTCTTGTAAAAAGTATCAATAGCGAAATTGACGAGTTGATATTTGTAATCTGTTTGTCAATAATCAGTGAGAAACAGCTTGAGATTCTATTGTTATGAAGTCAATAAGGGTATAAACGAAAGGATTCTTGAGACTTGTATGAAATCGGTACTCCCAGAGCAAGTCATCCATGATTTATATGCTCTGCATTCAGCACATTGTTGAAAGTCATTACAATACAGTTATTATTTCACAGGAAACTAATTACCATGTTGTTTTTTCTTGTTGATTTCTAACCAGCCCATATTGATTCTGTCAGCTTTGAAATATGGAGGAATGTATGAAAATATGTTTCATTTATTCCCTCATATTTTGAGCATAATAGCAGTTTTATGCGTCAATAAATCCGGACAGAAATCTAAAGACATTGAAGCGTCAGTTGTGATAGTAATTATGTGTATTTAACAATGTAGTGAAAAATATACCCATAAAGGAAGAATAATATTTGAGTGACTGTGGGTGTTTATTATAGTTTCAGTTCACTGGGCTAAATAATGATGATTTGTGTTTGTATACGGTTATATTTAGCGTATCCAGTTTACGTTAACAGATATTTTGGGAATATAAAATCAGGTTTTATGTTTGTTTCTGAAATTGAATACAGGCTGTGTTATCGTCTTCCAGTGCAATGATTTAGTTCAAATTGTAAATGTTCTATCAACTTTTCTTTCACACAAATGGAGAAAATACACAAACTTATATACTACTTTCCAGGAGTGATATATTTTTTATTATACATGCAGTCAGATTTCTTTCTGATTTATTCGAGTTTCATCTTTATGAGCACATAAACACAAATGAATTGTCTTCACACTGTCATTTTCAATATTTATGGTACATTTAATCCAAATCAATTTGCAGTTACACCATCAACACATTGAGAAGCTTTAACAGATAACAGTGTTAACTGAGAATGCAAGAAAACTGTATGATTCTTTGGCTGTTTAAGGTCGTGGGCTTATTACATGGCTATTCACGCTACGTTATTCACGGAATGACCAGCCCTCAAGCCCGTTATCCCTTTGCGAAACTCTAAACGTCAATTTCCGAACTGAGACAGAAGCCAAGGGCTAACAGGGTATCTCGTATATATCTCAGTTCCAGATTTTTTCACCTGACCAAACGGAATGGACAGACTGAGACTAAACTGACACATTAATTCTCTACCTTGTCGACCTAGCTTAACAAATTCCTTCATTGAATTTCTATACTAGCCCCAGGAAGTGTCTGCCTAATGTTGGCATTTGTGTCACGTGTGGACCCCCGATAGATATTAGCCCGAAACACTACATTCCCAGATTTGTAATTTTCTGCAACACTAAGATTTTAAATTTGTATGCAAATAAATAAAAAAAATGGGAGGAAATGGTCGTTTTGCCGGAGGAGCTGTCTGAAGAGTATTTGTTGAGTGACTGTTTCAGCAGAGCTGAACATGTGATATGAGGAACTCTGAATAAATGTATACAAATCCGAAAATTACAAGCCTCTGATGTAGAAATGTAGATTCCTGAAATTGGTACCGTAACTTCAGCACTGGTATTGGTAAGTTCAACCTTCTTCTTCTGTTTCATTACATAGATTGTTGTCTGATTTATGTAGAATAAGATAATTATAGATTAATGATCCAATTACATTTTAATCAATATCATTAAATCTGAGTGTAACCATATCCATCCTAATTATCTTTGTATGGTCAGAAGATGTTAACACCTCTTGTTGTGAAGATACAGACAGTTAATCTTCCTGACACAGATTTCCTCAGAGGAAATACTGTTTCAAGTTTATCAAATTCTTAATTACAAATAATTGTTTTCTTGATTGGAAAATCAACACAGATGGAAGGTACTATGATCTTGATTTGTTTGACTGTCTTGTGAGTAGGTCTGGATCAAATTTCCTTCTGTCGTACCGCATCTTGCAAGGTCAGGAGTTGGACAGCCAGTTCGGTCATTTCAGACCATTGTCCAGCTAATGAAATCAATCATGGCCCGGGGATGGACGGACCAAGCCTGATTTGGTCGGGCTATAATTATAAAACTTCCTGCTGTGGATACAACGCCGGAGAGAATTCATGTGGATAAGTTTGACATTTTGCCACCAACTAGTTCACAATGTTATCCAGGCTTACTAATGTAGTGGTCATTAGTTGGCCAACATTTGGTCACTTTGATGGCAAATGTAACTCTTTAAATACTAATTAGGATTAGATTATTAAGGGACCTAAAATGTAAGAGTTCAAGATGCTAATGGGCAAACATTAAGCACCTGAAGCAGGTTTAAGGAAGCTGCATGAATTTTAATAAGGACCTTATATTATGTTTGACTCTATAGTTTAAAACAATATTTTTGCATGATAACAAAAGGGGGTTCACAATTATGAATTGGGCATGTTTGTAGGAGGGGGAGATCACACAAACAGATAAGGATGGAGTCACTGATGAATTTGTCTATAAGTGAATACAAAGATAATATTTTTGGTTCATATCATTGTCCCTTTGAATGTGTCATTGTAGTCTATTTCTGTATTACAGGAAGGCTTTGATCTTCCAAACTATTTATGTTCAAAGTTGGAATATTGCAATCAGCATACTTTTGTTGCTTTATCATTGAACTTATATATACACTAATGAACAGGCAGACAAGATGTCCTGCTTCATGGTCCTCCCCATGTGTTGCTTTATCATTGAACTTATATACACCCTAATGAACAGGAGGACAAGATGTCCTGCTTCATGGTCCTCCCCATGTGTTGCTTTATCATTGAACTTATATACACCCTAATGAACAGGAGGACAAGATGTCCTGCTTCATGGTCCTCCCCATGTGTTGCTTTATCATTGAACTTATATACACCCTAATGAACAGGAGGACAAGATGTCCTGCTTCATGGTCCTCCCCATGTGTTGCTTTATCATTGAACTTATATATACATAATGAACAGGAGGACAAGATGTCCTGCTTCATGGTCCTCCCCATGTGTTGCTTTATCATTGAGCTTATATATACCGTAATGAACAGGAGGACAAGATGTCCTGCTTCATGGTCCTCCCCATGTGCTCCTGGTTTCAGAGGGGCGGTGGGGTAGCCTAGTGGTAAAAACATTTGTTCTTCACGCCAAAGACCTGGGTTCGATTCTCCAAATGGGTGCAATGTGTGAAGTTAATTTCTGGTGTCCCCTTCTAGTGTCCCCCGCCGTGATGTTGCTGGAATATTGCTAAAAGCGGCGTAAAACCAAACTCAGTCAGTCAGTCAGTCTGGTGTCCCCTACTGTAATATTGCTGGAATATTGGTAAAAGTGGTGTAAAACTCACTCACTCACTCACTCAGATACACTGAACTAATACAGGAGATGCAGCATGACCAGATAGGCTTGGATGTTGCTCATGATATCAATCACTGAATTGTCTTGTCCAGAATAGATTATGTACAAGACACTGCAACATATCTGGAATAATACTGACTACAACATTAAATACTAAACAATAAACAGTAAACAAAAATACATGATCTGGTATATTCATCAGGAAACTGCAAAAATATTGGAATAATTTTGAAAAAAATTCCAAAGAAATATCCAAATTCTTCAGACAGGAATCTTCTAAATATCCATCTGTTAAGTATTATTAACTTTAAATACAGCAAGTTCAGCTATGTGGGGTCTATAAGGTCAGAGAGGTCTTCCAGCACACAGAGACAGACAAACCGATTCCATGTAATCTTCAGGGGAATCGTTGGCATGTGAAGGAATATATACCACAGTTGGAACCTGCCATACATTCACGAATGATGGCATCATTCCTAAATGAATAGTCTCTGTTGAAGTAGCTCTATTTTCATAAGACCTGCATTATGTTTAATAATATCCTTCAGGTCCAGGATTGTATGAATAAACAGGTGGTATACGTTTGTTTTGTAAAAGCAATAGATGCTAAAGCCTATCATTTTCTCATGTAGATCTGCAAACTCCCACGACTCCAAGTCAAATTGGCCAGCATGTAGGCAAGATCTGAACTGAAGGGTGTAATGGTATGGAACCAACAGATCCATTTCCCCAAGAGAAATCAGAGGCAACGCCATGGCATGTCATTAATGATATGAGGGCAAAGAGCAGAAATTGACAGAAATATGATTCATAACTCTGCCAATTACTACTAAGGCCCCTAATATTTGTACCTGTCAAAACAGCAAAGAGCAAAATTGGAAGTGTGAAATTGTTCCCAGACAGTGCGTCTGTGTCGGTCTTGGCATATGATAATTACTGTTTCCGTCTGTCCATGGAAACAGTTTAACAGGATTTGGTTCATATATGATTCAGAAGAAGTATCATTTTAGAATAAGAATCTCTGTGATTATAATTGGAAGCCCCAACTTCCTGTTTTAATCTCCAGTTCTGCGGACTGGTTGTGTTGTTGATCCCAAACATGTTTTGGTTGTGTTGGAAGATGACATCTTCTTGCTAATGCCAAGACTCAGCTTGAACATCTGGCACAACCCCAGGAATATTTGTATACTGTTGGAACTGATTTTACATGTTGTTTTGGGGCTTTAAAAGGTGAATATGTTTATGAATACATGTATATTTGGTTTAAGCAGTAAGATGTTGATCTGGGTGTTATTCTTTAGATTCTTTGTTTTAACTTTGTATCACAATCCGAAAGGATTTTAGCCCACATGTACTTTTAAATTTTTTGTGGCTTTAATCACCTGAATTAACACAAAGTAATTTGAGCCTGTTACCAATGGCAACACAAAAACACACTCTCCAAATTGGTCAAGAACTTGTCCAAAGTATGTAGGAAACCATCACTAGACAAATATTTCTGTATACGGTTATGGCCTAAAACAGACAATTCACATACACTCCAAGGATCCAAGGCTATTAAGCCTGTCCCCAAATAACCTCAGCTAACAATCATTCATTGTAATTCCAATACAACAGATCAAAGCTTCTTTCTGTGCACAATTCTGTACAGCTCAGCAGGTGATCCATGTCTGCTTTCAGACACATTTACATTCACTGATTCTAGAAAAGATCTCTAGACCTTCCCTCCATCTCCTACCCCCACATCCCAGACTTCCCTCCATCTTCCTACCCCCACATCCCGGACCTCCATCCATCTTCCTACCCAAACATCCCTGGCCTCCCTTCATCTTCCTACCCCCACATCTGTGGCTCCATCCCCCTCCCTTCCCAACATCCCTGACCTCCCACCATCTCCCTACCCCACATCCCTGACCTCCCACCATCTCCCTACCCCCACATCCTAGACCCTCCATCCATTTCCCTACCCCCACATCCCTGACCGTCCATCCATCTTCCTACCCCCACATCCCGGAAATCCCTCCATCTTTCCCCCACACCCCTGTCCCCACCTATCATCTCCATACTCCAACATCCCTGACCTCCCTCTATCTCCCTACCCCCACATCTGTGGCTCCATCCCCCTCCCTACCGCCATCTCTCAACCCTCATACCCCTTGTCCCTGACCCTCATATCTCCCTACATCCTCCTCTCCACCTCCATCACTCCATCCCTACCCCCATGCCCCTGACCCTTCCTCCCTCTCAAAGACAAACATAACATAGCCACACTACAATCATATTTATTCTAGCCCATTCCCAGGTCATGCTGACTGTTGGACATTGGTGGTCAGATATAAATATCTGCTTTAAGAGATATCATCTCACCATCCATCCTCCTTTCCCCAAAGACACCACAAACATTTAATCCTATTACTGATTTGGAATTACCAGCTAGTACACATCCGCACTGATCCAAATTTCCAATACAGTGAAACCCATTTGTCTGGAATCTCACCCTCAAGACAATTCACCTAAGTCACCTGTGAGTCAAAACGTGACTGACCAATCAGAAAGCCTGAGGTGATACAGAATCCACCATTTTGTCTGACCACTATAAGCCTTTCCGACTTGTATCAAATTGGAAAAGTTGTTTGACATTTATTTGACAGCATTAATCAAAAATATCAGAATCTCCTGAAATTATTAGACTTATATGCAGATTTATTTTTTTTTAAATACACATACATGTTAATGACTAAATCATATCTATTATTG